TACTATTTTAATTTTTTAATAACAAAACCTTAACTGCAGTATTTTCTGACAATAGTGTACAATAAATAGGTGTTAGTTACATAAAATTTTTTATTACTATACTTCCTTTACATTATTTTTTTCTATCATTAGAGAAATCCTTATTGTTGTTGGGCATTCAATATGTTCACCCTGTATGTGACATCTACACCAATTACAATTTATTACATTAGTCATCAAAGTTGTCTTTGTGTATACAATGTTGGTTCCCATTATAGCAGTGGTCAAACCCATTAACTGAGGGGTATGTGCAAAGCGACAGGTGTTACACAAAAAATCAATAACACCTATTTATTGTACACTATTGTCAGAAAATACTGCAGTTAAAGTTTTGTTTTTAAAAATTTAAAATAGTACTAACTTATTTTTAAAATTAAAAAACTAATTAAAAACAAACACATTAACAAACAAATTAAAAACAAACATATTAACAAACAAATAAAAAAACAAATTTTAAAAAAATTATGAGGTTATGGTTTTTAAAATTAGAAAACTAATAATAAACAAACTAATTTAAAAAAAATATTAAAAAATAATTAAAACCAACAAACAAATACAAAATTATTAAAATAACAAGTGAAAAAATAGTTGCTAATTAAAATCAAACAAAAAAAAATAAAAGATATGAGGTCAGTGTTTTAAAAGCAAACTAATTAAAAATAAACTAGTTAAAATCAAACAAATCAAAAAATAAATAAAGATAAAATGATGTCTTGATAAAAAATGCTATAGTTAAGGTTTTGTACTACCTTATTTTTAAATTAAACAAACTATTTAAAAAAAAGCAACTAATTAAAAACTAATCTTAAACAAAAAGTAAAAAACAAATTAAAAACAAACAAATAATAAATCGATAGACTTGTAATGAGATTCCAGCAACAGATGGCCTGGCGTATTTACTATATGTCATTGTCCCAGGATTGCCTGGTGGAGGGGGGGGGGAGTATTTTACTATATAACATGTCTCCTCCGCTTCAGGCGGCTCCAGCTCCATGCTAACCAAATGTGACCTGATATACTATTCACACACACACTCTCTCTCTCTATCTCTATTATCTTTCTCTCTCTCTCGCTATATATATATATATATATATATATATATATATATATATATATATATATATATATATATATATTAGTCTTTAACTAAAGCATGATTTACCTGCAGAAGCCCAATTCATTTCTAAAGACTCTAACTTTGCCCTTGTCTCGATAAATAATAAAAATAGACACTAATTATTGCAAATTAATTTTTACCTGCAGCTTGTACTGAAAGCCTTGATACTTGTCCAGAGGAAAGAGAAGCAATTCTTACTAGATCTAGTCCTGATACCATATGCCAGTAAAAAGACTATTTTTAAATTTATTAAAAATAAATTTTAAGTGCAACTAGGTATATATTATTTAAATACGCTGCAAACTGTTTTTTTGTTACTTTATAGAGGCGTGTCTAAATACTGTCGTTGCGCCTTTTCTAAAAGCTGCACAGTTACACATGCATTGGAGAATAAACTTTTACAAGAAATAGATACACTGCTATACAACGCTAATGTCCGCTGCAGTAAGTATTCATTTAATAACAGCGTACAATCGTGTACGAAGTACACATATTCAAACTTCTATTTGATATAACATACAATTTGTATTTGTATGAGTATGTGTATTTGTTTTTAAATGTGAATTTGTATTTGTATTAGTTTTTGTATTCGTATTCGTATTCGTATTCGTATTCGTATTCGTATTCGTATTCGTATTCGTATTCGTATTCGTATTCGTATTCGTATTCGTATTCGTATTCGTATTCGTATTCGTATTTGTATTTGTATTCGTATTCGTATTCGTATTCGTATTCGTATTTGTATTGCATTTGTACCTGTACCTGTACCTGTACCTGTACCTGTACCTGTACCTGTACCTGTACCCGTACCCGTACCTGTACCCGTACCTGTACCTGTACCCGTACCTGTACCCGTACCTGTACCCGTACCCGTACCTGTACCCGTACCTGTACCTGTACCTGTACCTGTACCTGTACCTGTACCTGTACCTGTACCTGTACCTGTACCTGTACCTGTACCTGTACCTGTACCTGTACCCGTACCCGTACCCGTACCTGTACCTGTACCTGTTCCTGTTCCTGTTGCTGTTCCTGTCCTTGTATTTTTACTTTCACCTTTACTTTACTTGCATGTGAACTTGAACGTGCTTTTTCTAGTGCATGCTTGGGTTAATGTGTGTATGTATTCAAAATTAACTTGTATGGGTAAGCGAATGTGCTGGTGAAATTTATTTGCATGTGTACGTGTAAGCGTTAGCGAATACCTACATTTCCGCGTACGTTTGTGCTACTTGAAATACTAATAAAATCAGTAGCGTAGCCAGGATCGTCTCAAGGGGGGGGGGGTTCCAATTTTTATCCGGGGACAAACTTTCAATTTGCACCCCACCCCTTCATACTTTATATATATACCGAGGGGTCTATGACCCCCCCCCCCCCGCCTTAACCCCCCCCCCCCCTGCCTACGCCACTGAATAAAATCATATTTTATTACATGCTATAGGCTGGACAACAGCAGGATTAATCCGTGAGTACTTCTTATTTATTAAGCCCTCTCTATATGTTTTAAGAAAAACTCGAAATCTATACTGCAACGAAATTTTAATAAAATACATATCGTTTGTACGTTTACATCTGTGCACGTATAATTTCCATATGATAAACATTTTGATTATTTGATTTCACTACGTTTTTATTATAATTACATACACTTTTATAAATTCACACACACACATATATATATATATATATATATATATATATATAGAAAAATATATATACATTTTTTATTTTTCTATGTGTATATAAATTATTCATAATTATTCACATTTTTGTCCCTCGACTAGCGCATGCTAGGTTGATGAAAGCTTATGTATAAACAGTGGCGGAACAAGAAAAAAAGGGCCACCCCGCAAAGAAATTTTTTGGGCCCCATATATATATGATATATATACATATATATATATACATATATATATATATATATATATATATATATATATATATATATATATATATATATATATATATATATATATACATACATACATACATACGAAAATACTATATATATATATTTATATATATCCGAAAATACCAACACAGAATACTCATTTCGGGCTTGTTCGAAATTTAAAAAAAAATCACTAAAAATACTTAGTTTTTATTAAAAAGTAAAAACAAGTTACAACAGGTCATTTGTGTGACTGCTATTACTCTGTATTAATTTTTTTTTTTTTTTTTTTTTTAGTAATAATTATTTATTTTGAAGTTTTACACAGCTTCAAAGACATGACAATCAATTGTATATATAGTAATTAAATAGAGAAATGGAGAAAGTAAAATTGCATAAGAATAAGACTTAAATATGGTGTGCAACTTGGTTTCTTTTGACTGCTTAGTTTACAAATGTGTAATTAAATGGTGATTCAAGGGATGTTTTTTTTCATCGGTGTGGTGGGCTGAGGGGAGGGGGGGGGGGGGGGATTTCCCTTTGGGTTTTTAAGAAGAGCTGAAATAAATTTGGGATTACAGAGAATTAAAATGATAAAAATTTTAAGCAACCGGAATAGCTAAGTTATTATAATGACATATTTTTAATTATATATTTATTTTTTTTTTTTATTTTTTTTTTCGCCTCAGACACGTAATTTATAGCGTCAGTTGTGTGTTCGCTTTAGTATTACAGTTTTCATCATCGGCTTGTGGGGAGTTATACAGATTTACAATAGTAATATTTCTTTCTTACTTGTAGCCTGCTATCATTCATTTAATTAAGATGGTTTACTTATACATGGATCTAATACAAAACGTCTAAATATAAAGAAAAAAGAAAAATTAAAAACCAACCTGAAACTGAAAATGCAAATGTGTAATTAAATGATGATTTAAGGGATTTTTTTTCTCGGCGTGCGTGGTGGGCTGAGGGGACGGGGTGGAATTTGGGTTTTTAAGTAGAGCTGACCATGCTGTATATGTGTAATGGTTTCTCGCCTTATGTTTATTTTTATGTTTTTTTTCTTATTATATTATTAGTTTTAAATGGATTTCCTTTTTATGCTTTGTTATTCTTTATCATGTATTTGTTTAAAAATAATAACTAAGAGAATTAGTCGCTTTTTAATTTGTTTAGTGCAAATTTATTAAAAGGTGCTGAAGAGCACACATATTTGACTATTTAAAAAAGGGAAATAAGTCATGGAAGTCGTTTGAACAATTGCGTATCTTTCACGCGATGGGTTTATTTTCAAAAGAATTTTGCCGACAACAGCGTGTGTTTGATTGTAGGAGAAAGAGGACTTGAGATGGTGTCTATAGAATAAAGATAATCCAACCGCAGCTGCAGTATTCTTTTTACAAAACAACCATGAAATCAAAAATGAAAAAGATTATTTTTTTTACTGTAAAAAAATTCATTATGGTCGGCTGCGGGCCCCTAAACTTTTAAGCGATGGCTTTTTAAAAGTCTATAATTTGAGTACTGTTTGAGATAGATAAACGAAAGTATATGTTAACGGTCTAATGTTCTGAGTTCTTTAAATTTTTGAGAAAGTTACGTACACCGGATGTAGTGCCTTGACTATTTCCGATTTCTTAAACAAAAGCATATGTATTAATTTTTAACTTGATCCCTCTGTCTTCCTTATAAAGTGTTCCGCACTATTATACACACATTATTTGTGTTCATTTGGTGAGCAATTGTTTTTTCAACAAGATTCTATTGAATTTCAAAAAATTAAAGAGTTGCTAACCCCATTAGTGCATTAGTGTTGTCTAAAAAAATTCGAGAATGTTTAAGGTATATGACTATCGCTTTATTAAATAACGAATTTCTGTTTTGTTTTCTGTCATGCAAATATAACTCTATGTTCTATTTTGAAAAAAAATCACTCAACAAACAAAAGAATGCTTCTCTGGCATAACGCAGTGTCAACACCAATTAGAATTATATTTGCCTACACGAGACAACGATGTGTATGAAATGTGTAGGTAAGTATAATACATAATTTATTGATCCGTATAGAAAGGAGTGGACTGGCTGTGGCTAAGTGGCTCTTAAAATTCTCAAAGGGCCCTCCTAGCCCCAGCCTGAAATTTTCAGTGTGCCGTTTTTAACCATAAAAGCCTTAATTTTACGCCTTGGTATGAAATCAAATATGGAAACTGGAGAAAAACGAGAACCTAGATATTTTTTTCTAGGTGACACACGTAGATTTTTTCCTGAGATCCTTTGGGATTTTTCAAGGTCGACCGGCAGGCCAGTCCACCCCTACGTCTAGGTTATTGTAACCTTGATAAATCATGAGCAATATAATCATATCATGATCGAAAACTTACGTACTTAACGAGTTTTCTGCAAACCTATCTACCTACCTAGTCAGCTGCTAGCCTGCCACATACACACACGCACAAGCATATATATATATATATATATATATATATATATATATATATATATATATATATATATATATATATATATATATATATATTTATTTATTTATATATATATATATATATATATATATATATATATATATATATATATATATATATATATATATATATATATTTATTTATTTATTTATTTAATTATTTATTTATTTATTTATTTATTTATTTATTTATTTATTTATTTATATATATATATATATATATATATATATATATATATATATATATATATATAGGCCTATATATATATATTGTTACACTTGGCTTAGCAGTATTTTGGGCTCGTTTGGGCCTAATATAACAATAGTAAATAAAACACAATCCACAAAGAGAATATATAGCATTTACGTGTAATTTTTACCATCCACAAGAAAAAAAGTTGAAAAGAAAACTGACAAGTCATTACATTGTGTTGACATCACACAATATTCCTCCACACACTCTCGCGTTCACACACTTCTGCTCCGTTGACCACCACTTTCAAGGTGGATCACCCTTACACTCTCTCTCCCTCTCTCCGTGCCTACACATTTAATTTTTTTATACAACCACGTCACGCTATATACTTAAAATATGTTTGTATTATTATAATGATTTGAATATTTCATTTTAAATTTTCTTTCAGAGACTATCAAACTTACATCGAATGCTTTTTACAGCAAACAAGCTGTCATTATACTCTAGATATAATGAACAAGGAAATAGTTCGAGTTAACATGGAACTAAAGCGAACCAACTTTCCATGTTGTAAGTATATAGTTTGATCTGGTTTTATCAAGCACATTATTTAAATAAAGTAATACCTTTTAAAATTTATTTTAAAATCTCCTGTTCAACAATTACGCTTAGTTTTTTTTTTTAAATTCACGAAAAAGCTATGAAATAAAAGGTAATCTTTAGAACAGCCTACTTTATTAATAATACTGTAAGTTTGAATTTTTCAAATACATTTCCAATTCTCTAAATGAACTAATAACCTAATTTTGAAATATGACAAATATACCTAACAAAACTATCAAAATATTGCAATTGTTTTAAAACCTTCGTGTATTACACTACACATCATCGGAGATATTGTGTATATTTTTTCCATTAGATGTCAACGGTAGAATGATTATTCTGTATTTGATACAATGTGACAAATAGAATTGCAAAGGAAAGTCTGAGTAAAAAAAATATAACAGAAATATAATACTCTAATTTTAATTTTACGTGAACTGAGTCACTGAAATAATACAGTATGAAAGTAAATAATAAACAGTAACACGTATATATTTAGATCAGGAGGGTCTTTTTTTTACAAGGTGTCAATTCAATGCACGCAATTTACAGCCTTTAAAATGATAATAATGTATAGGTGCGATTACTACTTTACTTTGCAAGCGTTTACGGCCTAAACTAAAAAACATAATTACGCTTAACAGTAGCCCGCGTTTGAGTTTACATACTTGATAACAATCATCGTGGAATGTAATTACTTATAAATTGGTACAGTAAATACAATAACTATGTAAACTACTCCAAGGGTTCAAGGTCGCGAGCGAACCAAAAGAGTGAGGGTAAGCGTGGAGCAAACAAAGATCGAGTTTTATGTTTTGTTTTCGCTTTATATGAACCTGATACAAAGGAAGCTGACTATTGATCAATGTGCAACAGAAAAAAGCAAGTTGAAGATAAAAATATGTCGTCGCAATCAAAATATCGGAAAAATTGACAAGATATATTTTTGGTCTATGGGTTAATTTATCATAAATTCTTAAGTCTTAAGACATTTTGTCAGAAGATAATTTTTGGTAATATTTTCTTATTTTCAATATACCTTTCTTACTCTGTTTTTTTTGGACTAATTTCAGCCGTTTCAACGACCGGTGTCACATTTAGTAAGTATTACATTTTGAATGAATTTGAGAACTGTTTATATATATATATATATATATATATATATATATATATATATATATATATATATATATATATATATATATATATATATATATATATATATAATATATTACTTTTCAGGAGGTGGATCACAATTTATCATAGTACTGCAGAATTTGCTGACAAAAATTGAATCAATTATTATTTATATACTTCGCCTTTGTTACATTATATGATTGCATATTTGTATATATATATATATATATATATATATATATATATATATATATATATATATATATATATATATATATATATAGCCGGGTATATCTAGCCCGATTGCGCAAGATTGGTATTTTCAGTTTTGACAAACAATGCGACCATCTGTCTAACAAAACAAACTTAGTCTACTGCTTTATTTTCCAATGAGGATCCATGTTTCGTGAACAAATATTTTACAGCAACAAGTTTTTTGTGCTAACGTCTCAAAGTATGGTGCATTTTTTTAAATTTCAAAATAGAAAGGGGGAGGGGGTAGTAATGCCCCAATACACAGTCTTCTAACGTATTCCATATATATTTAAAATAAGCGACAAATTTCAAATTTGTTCCTTATGAAGGTCATCCTATTTTAAATATGTTTAATTTTAGCTCTTTGCCATATTTTTGTTTATTTATGATGGACTGTTAACTTTATAATGTAATGCTTTTGTTTTAAGAATCAGTGATTACAAATATTACTGTGTAACTGGTCCTTGTGCTCGCATGTAATAGTAGATATTACGTATAAACTTTAATAAAAACGATACATCTTGCTTGCTGTATTATATATAATTTTTTGTTCTATATTTTTTTAATAATCGCTACTGTGAGATTTAAATCTTGTTCATGTTAAATTATAAGAGTCAAATTATAAAATTAGTTATATATTTTGTTTAACAAATAAAATAAGTGTTTTTTTTTCGTTCAACTTTTTGTTTCTTTGCACAAGTATGAAACATTATATAGTCAAATTTAGATTACAGTTTAAAAAAACAACAGAAAAACAATAATGTAGGCATTAGCCCACATTTTTAATAATTTGTTAATATCCATATTTATCTACTGGTACACTTTTATTAATATTTTTTTAATTATATTTACTAGCATTATAAAAATAATATTCAAATACAAATGACTAAATATATAGCAACATTGAACTTACATGATTTTTTCTTAAATTATCAATTTAAAAAATCATAATCAACTTGACTCGAAGGAAGCAATCCATGTTCTTACAACATGCCATTGTTAAAACACGGTTAAGTCCCTTTTAAAATTATTGAATGTTCATCAAAAATCTCGGTTTTATGTGTCTACGTTTGCATTTAACTGTTAAATTTGAGTATGTTTGTCTTAGATGTGATTTAAATTTAGTTGCTTTTTCAAAGCACAATAACCATTTGTATTTTGCACTGTTAGCTCACACTAACTTACTAAGACTATTCATTTACTTAAATCATAATCGATTCAACTAGATTACAACTAAAGTCATTTTTTTAAACATTATTTTGAGTCATTGCTAGGGTAAAATGATTGTGCTTTTATAATAGGGAACTGATTTAGTTGTTCATTTTTTTTTTCAAGGACCCTGTTTATGGTTTTAGGTGCTTTCGCTGCATTGGCTTTAACCATAGGTAGTTTGTTTACAATTAAATTTTATATTCATAATTATACACTATTATTTAGTTCAAATGTAACATGCAATAAACACAATTGTATGTAACCAATTATCTTTGAGTAGGCATTAATAGAAATTAACAGATACTATAAAAAAGTCAGTAGCAGTTAAAAAATAAAGTGGCAGTTCTACAATCAAATAATGTTGAACCATTTAAATATACATAGCTCATATTATATCACATATCATATATCTTATATTTAATTAATGTTGTACATTTCTTTAAACGAACTATACATTATAGTTATTAGTTTCATAAAAATAAACAGTCGAGAAAAACAAACTAAAGCCAATAGAGTAATTAAGTGGCTTTTTTTTTAGTTTATTGGTTGTAAAAGTGATGGGCGACTCAAATTGGAAGGGAGTCAACCATGATCTTACAACATGTCATAGTTAAAACAGGTTTATGCCCCTTTTAAAATCATTTTTGTCATGTCTTACGCCTGCGGGTAAGCGGCTTTCTGTCTTTTGTGTCAATCAAACATGTGGCTGTTCGAGTATTATTCATATTTGTGCAAGTGTCCATTCAGACAAAGGCCTTCTCGCAAGCGTCTTTCGTGAAAACATCCGGCATGCGTATATATGTGTGTGTGTGTGTGCGTGTGTGTGCGTGTGCGAGTGCGTGTGCGTGTGTGTGTGTATATATATATGTTCAATGAGCAGTATCGTCCATTCGCACTAGAAGAAACACAAAACAAATTATAATAATTTCATTTTAATCAAATACGTCACCCTCGCTAACGGTAAGCTTTAGGCAGACGGCCACTTTAGTTCTCTCTCGACGGGTTTTGGTCCACATGTAGATTTGTAAACTTGACCTCTGGTCATGTACGGCAGTAGCCTGTTAAGGACAGAGTAAAGATGTTAATGTGACCATCAGATTTGCAGGAGTTATATCAGTGGCTTAAAAGGAAAGTAAAGTATGGATTCCTCTTTAGACCTAGCGATTCATTGGGCAGATGAAATAGAGTTCATATGTTTCTTGACCTCGGCATGTTACTTTCCCTAACATAATTTAGGTATCCCTCAGAGCTGGGTGGACTCAGGGACGTTATACTGACGTTGACAGGGATTCGAACTCGAGACTTAAGGGCTAGCAGCCTAGCCCTCTACCGTTTAGGCCACACCACCCCACAGCAGCTTAAAAGGTTATGTATTTTCTGAAGTTGTAACACACGTAGACTATTATTAATATTGATAGATAAATCACCTTTTGACAGGCATATGTATAGAAAAAATGTGTAAAATTTTAAAATTAATTAACATATCATAAACGTCCTAAATATTTAAAGTAATGCACGGATATGATTTTAATGAATATCTTACGGGCGGTTAGCCTTGTTGAGAATAAAAGGAACAGGAGTAGCTCCCTCTTTAGCGCCCGGGTGTGAGACGAGAGTTGTGACGTAGTGACAGGTCCAAATGTTGCTGTACTTTGGGTTGTGCTGTGGAGGTAGCATGCAATTTTTTATAAGATGTGTAGTCGGCTTATCTAAGCCTAACGTACTAAACGTTACACTATTGTCAACTATTTCTTAAATTTACATTTATTTTATAAGAACACTAACTATTATGTTATACAGTATTTAAACGATTACAATTTAAACTGTGTTTGTTTCCTAATTATTGACTGCAAAACGTATAAACTTTTAGTAATATTAACTGTATCGGTTATTCTTTCTTTTAAAAAAATTGACATCTCTAGTCTCGCTCTCTTCACGCTTTCGTCACTTTCGTATTACTCTCATCTCACAGTTATTTTCTTCTCACTCTCCCTCTGATGTCACTCTGCTGTCACTCTCATGTCACTCTGGCGTCACGCTGATGTCACTCTGATTTCACTCTGATGTCACTCTGATGTTACTCTGGTGTCACTCTGATGTCACTCTGATGTCACTCTGATGTCATGCTGATGTCACTTTGCTGTCACTCTGTTGTCACTCTGATGCCACTCTGATGTCACTCTGATGTCACTCTGCTGTCACTCTGATGTCACTCTGATGTCACGCTGATGTCACTCTGATGTCACACGGATGTCATGTCACTCTGCTGTCACTCTGTTGTCACTCTGATGTCACTCTGATGTCATTCTGCTTTCACTTTGCTGTCGCTCTGATGTTACTCTGATGTCACTCTGATGTCATTCTGATGTCAATATGATGTCACGTCACTCAGCTGTCACTCTGTTGTCACTCTGATGTCACTCTGATGTCACTCTGATGTCACTCTGATGTCACTTTGCTGTCACTCTGATGTCACGCTGATGTCACTCTGTTGTCACTCTGATGTCACTCTGGTGTGACTCTACTGTCACTCTGTTGTCAATCTGATGACACGCTGATGTCACTCTGCTTTCACTTTGCTGTCGCTCTGATGTTACTCTGATGTCACACTGATGTCATGTCACTCTGCTGTCACTCTGTTGTCACTCTGATGTTACTCTGATGTCACACTGATGTTACTCCGCTGTCACGTTGATGTCACTTGTGTCACTCTCCTCTCTCTCTTACCTCACACTCGTCTCCCTCCCTCATGTTCCCTCCCCCTCACACTCTCGCTCTACTCACCAACTCTATACTACTGTAGCAGTCAGGCCAGGAGCCATGAAACACATTCTCTTGATGTCATGTCACTCTGCTGTCACTCTGATGTCACTCTGATGTCACTCGAATGTCACTTATGTCACTGGTGTCACTCTCCTCTCCCCTTTACCTCACTCTCGCTCTACTCACCAACTCTATACTACTGTAGCAATCAGGCCACGAACCATGAAACACATTCTATTGATGTCATGTCACTCTGATGTCACTCTGATGTCACTTATGTCACTGATGTCACTGGTGTCACTCTCCTCTCCCCTTTACCTCACTCTCACTCTACTCACCAACTCTATGCTACTGTAGCAGTCAGGCCAGGAACCATGAAACACATTCTCCTCCACTTCTATATAGACGGCCACACAGTTCTCGTGGCTCTCCAGTTCTTCACGTTTTATGTTGTACACAGCATTGGTGTCCAGGGTACCGTTTCTGCGGAGAAATACGTCACATATTTATTTTATATTTAATTATTTGGGAGGGGGGAGAGATCCGGACAAAAGGCCAATATGAACAAAAGCCGACACGGATAAAAGACAGACACCGGACAAAATGCCGATATGAACAAAAGGCCGACACGGACAAAATGCTGATATGAACAAAAGTCCGACAGGAAATATGGCCGACATCTAAAAGGCCGACATCCAAAATAGCGACAAGACAAAAAACCGCCCCCTACCCCCGTGGTCGGGACGATCAAACCAATGTCTGCTAAACCGAAAAGCCTCGAGGTCGATTAGGCTTCTTGAAGTTTTTCTTGGATGGACAAAGGCTATGTAAATAAATTCAGAGAGAAAAGCAAAATGGAATCAACAAGCTATAATTGGTTGACAGGTAATACTTAAGAGCATTCGACGATAGCCCGTCCAACATAACAATTAAGAACGAAGAAAAAGACGAAGATTATAGAACTGTGTTTTAAACTCTACATTTGTTTAGGATATATTTTGTAAAAGTAAAATAACCTTTGGAATTTGACATCAACCGTGACGTTGTAGGGTGTCACAATGATCAGCCCATCGTTATCCTCGGTCACTGTCACAATGTGACGACGGTATGTCACTTTGTTGACAAGTTCTTCCAAATAGAATGTTGGGATCTATAGAAACACAACAACATATCACTATTTTAAACAGAATTTCAATCTCAAAGTTACCGAGTTGAATATTTTAAACAGAATATTAACCCGAAATCTACCTGGTTGAATATCTTAAACACAATCTTAACCCCAAACGTACCGGATTTAATATCTTAAACAGAATCTTAACGCATTACGTACCGGGTTGAATATTTTAAATAGAATCTTAAAACCAAACGTACCGGGATTGAAAGTCTTAAACATAATATTAACCCAATCCTAGCGTGTTGAATATTTTAAACATTCTCTTAACCTCTTACGTACCGGGTTGAATATCTTAAACATAATCTTAACCCCTAAGGTACCGGTTTGAATATCTTAAACATAATTTTAACCCAATCCTACCGTGTTGAATATCTTAAACATCTTAACCCCTTACGTACCGGGTTGAATATCTTGACATCAACTGGGATGAAATAGCCCTCAATCAAAGAGTGGGGGTGGAGGAAGTTTTTCTCTCTCTCCTCAGTCAGCTGTTTCTCACCTGACACGTATCCAGTGACTGATTGGATGAACCTGATCAGTTTGGCTGAAGGTAAGCCTACAATGTAAGTTCAACACTGGTTACATACACATTTAACATATTAAAACATGGGATATGTACGTGTTGATTGTGTTGAATTTTTTTATTGAGTCCGTGTTGTTGCATTGAGTAAAAACATCGCATTCTATATTTAACGTTCACAACTTACGTAAAATTAGACAATACATTTTGCTCACACAATGTAATTAATGTGTATAGCTTGATTTTGAAAAAAAAAATGTACGCTCTTCACTTTGATGATTTAACCACATAAGAAAAATTATCAAGCGGTTTGTATTCAAAAAAAACAAATCTATAAAACAAAACAAAAAGTCACAAATTATGAATTGTGTGATAAATAGTTTACTTTTTAAAGTGCATGGGTAGATTTATTTCTTTTTGTAAATAAAACGAAAACTTTTAGCGCTAAATGCGTTCTTCATTATAGCCTACCCAAAAATAACTAAAGTACTCCGCTCTGGAGGCAAGTTAGCTTTGTTAACTTATAGGATGTAAACATAAACAAAAAAGTTAGCTTTGTTAACTTATAGGATGTAAACATAAACAAAAAGTTAGCTTTGTTAACTTATAGGATGTAAACATAAACAAAAAGTTAGCTTTGTTAACTTATAGGATGTAAACATAAACAAAAAGATAGCTTTGTTAACTTATAGGATGTAAACATAAACAAAAAGTTAGCTTTGTTAACTTATAGGATGTAAACATAAACAAAATGTTAGCTTTGTTAACTTATAGGATGTAAACATAAACAAAAAAATCACTGACCAGTGCTTGTCTGACCCGCTTGTCCACTACACAAGCCTGTACCTAGTGCCAAACAAAGCAGCAAGAGTGTGGTAGACGCCATCTCTAGGCAAATGCTGACAACCAACGTGTCTCTTTCTTATTTATTTACTTGCAGTGAGTAGATCAATTAACCGCTTTTTTAAATATAAGAATCGCACTTTACAAAAGTGTTTACTCATCAGTTTAGTTAGGTAATTAGCCTGTCGTAAATAACTTAATACAAGGCCATGTAGCTATGCACTTTAAGTCATTGAAGAAACTTTTTTTTTAATTTTACAGAATCGGCAACTCTTAGCTAAAAAGTTAGCTGCTTTAATAAGTTTCAACCTGGTTGATGTTGACACCCTTATATATATATATATATATATATATATATATATATATATATATATATATATATATATATATGCGTGTGTGTGTGTGTGTATTTAGAAATAAGGTATTCGTACCAACCCGTAACAAAAACTTATCTGGAGGTGCTATATTATGTTTCTCTGCAACACATCTATTCATCACTTACCGCTCCCCCTACTCCTTTACTCTTCTACCACCCTACTCCACCAACACAGCCACATATAAATGAATAATTTTTAACAGATAGCTTAGAAAATCCTTGAACAACTTTATAATACCCATGGAAAATCAATATTCGATTAGTAAAATGTTGCACTTTAAAGCTTTTGTGATAGATCTACGTCATGAAATTAAACATGATTGATCTTTAGTTTGTCATTAAATGATGCATTATTAACAGGTTATTTCCAGACCTAGAACATGTTATATTTATAAGTGTTAATTTTATGCAAGAGATATTATTATGTAGTTGATAAGAGATCTCAAATATTGATAAATGCTTTAGGTATACTGTCTTTTAGGAACTTAAAAATATTGACAAATGTCTATTTGTTCATACCCAACTTCTTTACTTGTCTTGGGTCTATTATTAATTTATCAAAGAATAAACAATACTAGTGTTTATAAAAATGTTAATACCATAAACAATGCGAATATTATTCTAAAAGTAATGTTTTAATTTAGGCACAATTAATTATTTACATTTAATTAACATCTTGAAACGTATCTACCATTGTAGTGGTAAAATCATGTAAAGATACATTCAATCCGTCTTTCATAACCAAATGTTTAATTAAAGTACACAAAAAACGAATCAGTGTGGATATATCATTTATAATAAGTTAATCTAAAATTGTTATAGCTATGTGAGGTTAAGCAACGTCTGTCTTAACTAATTAGTTAAACAGATGTTGCAATCAATTAATCAATTACAACTCAGAAGGTAAACATTACCATGGATTAAAGCATCCGAAATAAAAATACACTGTTTTTTCTTTGTTTTTACAAATTTTAGCATAGCGTATTCAATCATACGAAATCAATCATCCAGCTATGTTATGTTTGTGCTCTTTAAAATCACTCAACGTTTTACTAAAATAAATTTTATTTTCCCTTTTTTAATCCAATCCAACTTATATCTGTCATCGACATAGATATGAACCGTTTAAGTTTATTTGTTTTACTTGACTATCAACTTACAGTCAAATTATTTCACTTGCAAACACAAAGAAAACACACTGAGATCAAAGTTTTGATATAATTTAATACAATTTAATAGCCAGCTTCTGAAGCCTTGGTGCATAAAGCTTATGTAGAGGGCCATTCTATTTTCCGCCCAGGGGGTGTTGGACCACAGGACGATTCCAAGTTTGGTCTACCGTACATCATGTAGGGAAGTAACCTAAAGACGGACACATTATGAATCAAAGTCTAAACATTGGATTAAATTATTAAAAACATATACTGATTGTTTTATTTTGTTTTGACCATATAAATAAAGTATTTGACTTCATTTAAATTAAATTTTCTTTCTGAATCTTTCTGTGATAAAGAAATAAATCTTGCCGCTAACTCTATCCATTACTATAACACAATTTTTATTTTTATTTTTAAAGCAAAAGTTTGAAATTTATTAATATAATCTCGACCGTTGTGAGTCAAACTCCTGAGGATCCGTTGTCGAAACATTCTAAAATAAATAATAATAACATTAGACGATGTAGATCCGATACACTTCAAACCCTCTTCTTAATTTAGGATCCGTAGTCAAAATTGTATATTCATCTTTCAGAGTTAAAATATACTTTTGAATATTTAACTAGGGTTTTTTCAATGCCATTTCCATTTACAGAGCTTTCTAATTGCAGTCCTCGGCGATAAGATATAGTTTTCCAGTTGACAAGAATATGCATAACATAATTTTATAATTGTAAATACTGTAAACTGCCTACTCTCGGTGCGCCTTATTGGCAACAAAAGGAACCGGGTTGGCGCCTTCTTTGGCCCCAGGGTGTGACACGAGGGATGACGTGTAGTGGCAGGTCAAGAGGTTGCTGTACTTTGGGTTGTCCTGCGGAGGCAAGAGGTTGTGACAAGATTATAACACACGGCTCTGTAGCTTTTTGATACTTGTGTGTTTACTAGACGATTTGACGGATTTATTATTGTAATCAGCTTATACTAAACCGTTATTATATGATCGCTATCAGCTAATACTAAATAACCGTTATTGTTATTTTATGATTGTTATCAGCTAATACTAAATAACCGTTATTTTATGATGTAATCAACTAATACTAAACCGCACAGGGTGACACCATTTAGGGGGGTGACACCAAGGCAAAAAATAGCAAAATATATAGAGAAAACCTTGAGGGGGGTGCAAATCGAAAACTTGAAAGTTTGTTCCCGGGAAGGGTCGCTACGCCTCTGGGGGGTGTCACCATTTCAGTGCCGCACCGGGTGACACCCGACCTCGCTACGCCACTGTAATCGTTAAATACTAAACCTTTATTGTTTGATTGTAATCAACTAATACTAAACCTTTATTATTTGATTGTAATCAACTAATACTAAACCGTAAATGTATTATTGTAATTATTTAATACGCAATAACCGTTATTTTATGACTGAAATCAGCTAATACTAAATAACCGTTATTTTAACACTGTAATTAACTTATACAAAACAATCCATTGTTACCAGATCGAGGCTGATTTCACAGTCCGGCCATGACCCAAAGAACACAGCGTGCTCCATCTCAGCATAGACGGCCACACAATTCGGGTGGGTGGACACATCTTTACGTCTCAGTCTGTACACACCGTCATGATCCAGGCTGCCATTTCTGTTTAAGATTGCACATCAGGATAGATGGTAGAAACAGGCTATAGCTTAGTTAGATAAACAGACCAATGGAAATACAGATGCTGACCGGTCACTTGGGATAATCAGCTGCAGAGTTTCTTCCAGGCATCTCTGCAGAGCCCCCCCCCCCCCGAAAAAAGTCTAGCGCCCCCCCACCCGAAAATTTCAAGTGCCCCCCCCTCCCGCCGGAGAAAAAAGTCTGGAAGAAACACTGATCAGCTGACCACTGAAGCGTGGGTCTGCAGTTTGGCCAAGCAGCTGTTAGGAAGCAATAGAAAACGGTCAGAGATAGGTAGAGCGAGGTAGAGAGTTAGGGATACACAGTGTGTTACAGATGGTCATGGTAGTGTGCCGTTAGATAGGAGTTGTAGTTAGAGGTAGCAGATAGTATATAGTTTAGACTAGTTAGGTAGAAGTAGGAAGATTATTTGTGTAAATAAAGAATTATAGAAAATCTTGGGTTGGACTTGTGGTGTTTTGGATCTTCTCTTCATCATAATTCACCCCACCCTCACATTTGGTGGCAGTGGCGTAGCGAGGTCGGGTGTCAACCGGTGCGGCACTTAATGGTGTCACCCCCAGAGGCGTAGCGACCCTTCCCGGGGACAAACTTTCAAATTTTCGATATGCACCCCTCTCAAACTGTCGATTTGCACCCCCCCCGTCAAGTTTTTCTCTATATATTTTGCTATTTTTTGCCTTGGTGTCACCCCCCTAAATGGTGTTACCCGGTGCGGTCCGCACCCCCCGCCTCCCCCTCGCTACGCCTCTGTTTGGTGGTGCTGTATTTCCCCATCCTCACACACATGACATTATTGTTTTCAAAACTCGACCTAGCGCGGGGGAAGGTAGTGTAACTATTCACGGTATGATGGCGTGGGTGTAATCTTAACGTCGGTGTTGGGTACCTGTGAAAGCTGACATCAACGGTGACGTTGTAGGGTGTCACGTGGATCAGGCCGTCGTCATCTTCTGTCACTGTCACAATGTGTCGTTTGGTTGTCACTTTGTTGACAAACTGCTGCATGTAGAAGGTTGGGATCTGATGATAAATAACATCATGTGACGGTAATTAAATTTTGCGGGGGAGTTCTTGAGGTCAGACTTTAAAAAAAAAAAATATATCGTATTCAACAAAAATGTATTTCAAAGCCTGTTTCAAAGTAAATTAATTTTCAAATGTATTTTGCAATAGATATAAATGTATCTTAGAGTTTCAGAGTTAGTACTACTAAATATAGACACGTTTAAAAGAAAAAAGTAAAAACTATATTAAAATGCAACCACGTGATAAATTAAATTGTACAAAGCGTAGCAGTCTGTCAATACTAACAATATACTGATACCATATACATAAGGATAATGCAACAAAAGTTATCAATACAAATTGTTATAGTTATAATATTTTAAAAATCCGGTGTAAATATCTGTTTCACTCTTAATTTTTTTTTGCTCTTTTAAAGAAACAAGTCCAAGTATATAACAGGCTTTAACTTCAACATATTTCAACATTAATTAGAAAGTATAACAACTTACCGCGTGAAATATTTAAACATCTATAGCAGTCATTCCTAACCTTTTAGGAGGTACCGAGTTTGAACCCCACCAGTTTCAAATGACCGATCACTGAACCCTTCTAAATGATTGTATCGTCAACACTGACAAATACGATCGTGAATCTTATCAGTCGGGTGTGTGTCTAGACCTTCATCGAACACTTAAGACTGACAAACCGAACCCGTGAGGTTCGATCAAAACGAGGTAAAAAAAAACGCTGATCTATTGAGTGTAGAAAAACTTACTGGATGAAATATTTGAACATCTATTGGAATGTAGTACACTTCAACTAGAGAATGTTGGTGGAGACTGTTTTTCTCTTTCTCCTCTGACAGCTGCCTTTCTCCGGAGAAGAACCCGCTAAGAGAATGTAGGAACCGAATAACTTTCTCCGAGGGTATAGCTGTAACGAAACACGTACAAGTTCTCGACAACAACAACGCTTCTAAACAATCCTATCTTTAATATAATCAAAACACCTCAATTTTTGCTACAAATTAATGTGATACACCTAATGCAACTGAGCTTTAGAAAATGCCTTTTTAAAAACTATTTATTGGCAGCGGTTTAGTTAACAAATAAAATAAAGCATTTTTCTTTTTAAATTTGTATTTTATCTACAATGTGAATAAATACGCAAAGTATATGAGAAAAATGACCTGAAATATCTTGTCCATTGTCCAATCCTACGCCCACAGCCAAACAAATCAACAACAGTGTAGTACTCGCCATGTTTAAAAAGTCTAATCTAGTTTTACACCACAAGTATCGATACATCGATCTACTGTTTTTACGCTATGTAGCTCACTAACAAGTGTTTAATTAAGAAAGTAATTAAAAACTAAATCATTGGCAAGCCAGTCATTGACTCGCCTAAACTAGAGAAAAGAGAAGAATTGTAATAGTTTATTTGTGCTTTCAATAAATGCATTTTAGACAGTCATTATTTTTACCAACCAAGAAGAAAATACAAGGAAGCAGTTAATTGATTTTGAAGAGTGGCTGTCTCCAGCTAACGAGCCTCATCTGCCCGAGGGTTCGAACACGAGACTCGACCACACCGAACCCATAATTAATGAGATGTTTAGTGGGATTGAGTTAACTATTTGAAAATCTCCAAATGAACTAAAAAAAACACAAAACAAGATAGTCAAATTGGGTAAATACTAAAAAAAAATAATAAAGGATAATGATGATGAGCTGAGCCATTGCTTACACTTACACAAAGGTATACTGCGTTTAATAGTATTACATTGAAACATTTTGTGGTAGTTGACTTAATAATTAAATAAGAAAGCGTTGAATTCATTTACACTCAGTTGTGTTGGTCTATATATGCAGACAACGAAGTACATCTATTTACAAATAAACACACGAATATTATATACAAAATTTACCTAAGAACATATCTATTACATCCCTATACAACTACAACCTTAGTGTTTACAAAATCACAAGTGAATAGAAATTGCATGAAGATTATTATAAAACGATTGAACAAAACTGATATAAATTAAAAAAAAACAAAAACTTGTTCTGATTTACTTTAAATATCGCTTTTATTTCAACGTAATGTTGAATATGAAAAGCAGGACAATACATAGAATAAAGAATTAATATCTGCTCTTTATTCAGACGGCCATTCCACTATTCTTTCAGGGGGTGTAGGCCCACACGATGTGTCGAAATGGTTTCGTCCGTTCATCATGTAAGGCAGTAGCCTGTTGATTCAATGGTTAACATTGCATCACATACATGATAAAACAATAAAAAAAAATTGTTTTAGTAATGATAAGCTAAAAATTCCAGGATTGACTTAACTTCTCTAAAGGTGTGTGATTGTCTAGAAGAGCCTATTCTTGTAGTCTGATTAAGTTTTGATATAAATTAACATGTAATTCGATCTAAGACGAACATTGAGCGAGTGTGGATTTCCTACCAGCGTTTGATAAGACAAACTAATTAATTTGACGATTTGCCATGTTAGAAATGCAGTGACTCACTTGATTTTCGCCGTGCTGCCCTTGAATGGAGCGGGATTAGCGCCCTCTTTCGCGTCCGCGTGAGACACGAGAAAGGCAGCAAAGTGACAAGTCCACAGGTTGGTGAACTTGGGGTTATGCTGGGGTAGAGACAAGATACATGTTGGTATACTTGGGGTTATGCTGGGTTATGTTGGGATTAGGCTGTGGTTATGCTGGGGTTATGATGGTGTTATGCTGGGGTTATGCTGGGGTTATTCTGAGGGTGATTGCCTGTATCCGCATTACATCATATAACAAATGCTTATAAACACTCCTCACTGTATATGTTGTAAGATATGTGCAATGCTACCTACACTCATATCGCTATTAAGCATACACGACATTAAAATGTAAAGTTTAAAAAAATCATCTCACAAGGTCAAGGCTGGTGTAGCAGTCTGGCCAGGTCCCCAGGAAAATGTTTGTGTCCACCTCTTCGTAGATCGCCACACAGTTGGGATGGGATTCCAGATCACTTGGTCCAAGTCTGTAGACAGCGTCTAGATCCAGGGTACCATTCCTGCAACAACACCATTTTATGTAACATATAATTTTATTTTCTTCTTCATCTTCTTCATCTTCGTCGTTCTTAATTTTTAGTGTTGGAAGGGATCGAGCCTTATCTGCCAGAGGTTTTGAACTCGAGACTTTTTCGAATTTAACAACCATGAGCTTTGCCAATTCGACCATGCCTCCAACACAGTTAAGTATACGTGTCAACTAGTTATGCGCCATTTCAGCCGATTCCAGCTTTCTTTTCTCTTTTGATTTGCTTCCATAGCCATTGTCCAACCAAGAACAAACTACAAGGCAGCAGTTGTTCGATTTTGGAGTTGTCTCTCCTAAAAGAGTGGCTGTCCCCAGCTAACGATCCTCATCGAAATCGTGACTTTTCGGTTTAGCAACCATGAGCTTTACCGACTCGACCAAGCGGACCCCTAATTTTCTTTTTAAAAAAACTACATAATTGTTTGGTTCACACGATCATTACGGCCTTGTCATTTTAATCACAGTTTAACTTATGACCCAGCCCTCCGTTCAGGTTAAACCTAAAATAATGAAAATTTCATCATAACTGAATACTTTAACGGTATGAAAGTATATGTTCAAGTCTGAAGGCAGGGTCTAGATCCTGGGTAACATTTCTACAACATGTAAAATATAATTTTTTTTTCATAAAACTATAACATAATTTTTAGCTGACCCTACGGCGTGTTTGTTATGTTGAAATGAAACAAAGTAAAGTGTCTTTAATTGCATTTACTAACATGTACATTTACAATAACATATAAAGCAATTTATTAAAATGAAAGTTGAAACATTTGCAGGTAAGAACGCTTAAACAAATTTACAATAAAATATAAAGCAATTTGTTAAAGCGTCCATACCTGCAATTCTTTCAACTTTCAATTCAATACATTCAATAAATTGGCATCGTTGGACATTTTAAAAACATACTTCGTAGTTTTACTTTCTTGTATTTGTAACAGTTAAATGTAGATGAATGTATGTTTCGAGTGTGTATTTTAAAAAGGCAATATGAATATAAAATATAGGATGGGTGTGCGCATGCGCTAAGGAAAGGAAGCAGAGAGAGGTAGATAGAGCGCGAGGAGAAGACGAAACTGAAGTCGTGGTTCTAGTAGTGTAGCTGCTATATTATCTGATATCAATAAAAGACTGTAAAATCACCAATAATGTGGTTTGTATTTGCCTTTAGTTTGTGCCATGAACCCAGTCATAAAAAGGGCTGTGACAGTATTAAACTTTTATTTTCTCTCATAATTTACCAATGTGAAAGCTTGAACTCCACCAAGCCCACTGTTAAAACTTCTATAAACTAAACGTGCATGCTATTTCAATGTTTTTTATGAGACCAGATTACAGTGTAATGTATTTAAACTCGTCTGCACTGTATGCAAGCTTTAAGTAGATAAATTAACTCGCCTGTGGAAGGTGATATTAGCGGAGATGTTGTAAGGTGTGACATGAATCAGACCGGTCTTGTCTTCAGTCACTGTCAAAATATGACGTCGGTGACTCACTTTGTTGATAAACTCCTCAAAATACAACGTAGGGGTCTGTGAATGTAATAACATTTTAAGGGTGTAGGCTCTCGGAAAAAACAACGTTTTTAATTAATGAAGAAATAAATATTGTTTTAATTTTTCAAATTTTAGTATGGTGAAAAACCATTAAAATTAATTTACTGATATTTCAGCTTACACAATTTTGAAAAAAAAAAAATCTAGAGTATTTTCTGTTACATGTTTTAGTTAGCTAACTATTACAGTTGGTTAAACAAGGATCAATGGTTATATACAAACAAATAAATATAAAAAAAAGCTTAATAAATTAAGAAGTGTTTTATTCCACAGCCTACCCCTTTAAATAAACATATTAGTAGGCTTTCATTGTTATATTTTAGAAAGATATTTATCAACAGTGAAATGTTTCTTTTAATTTCAACATGTATAAAGCGTTTAACAACAGACGGATCAACTCACCGGGTTGAAAAGCTTGACGTCCACGGGAATAAAAAACACCTCAAGCAACGTGTGGGGGTGGAGAAAATTTCTCTCTCTCTCTTCTGTCACCTGTTTCTCTGATGACGTGTATCCGCTCAAGGAATGGAGGAACCTCAGAATTTTATCAGTCGTTATTTCTGTAATATGAGTAAGCATTATATATGATAAATAAATAAATTAATTAATATATATATATATATATATATAATATATATATATATATATATATATATATATATATATATATATATATATATATATATATATGTGCTATTATGTATTTCGGTCCAAGCTGTGTGTAAAGATTACAAGCTGCTTTCGTATGATTGTATTTTGTATGTGTGATTATGTAAATTCGATGCACTAGACATCTAATTATTTAGCAAATAAACTTGTTTTTTAAAGACACATGTAGCATTAATTGCAAGATTGTCTCAGCTGACGGTTGCAAGATTTTGAAATTCACATTTTTAGTAATTTCAGAAACCGATTGTTTTATCTTCTCTTTCGTTTTTAGTTGTTACGTTGCAAAGGAATTCCTCCAATGCAATTGATATCTAGTCAACTGTTAATACGCCCTATGTGCCGATGACTCCTATCTCAGCCTGCTTTAATCTAAAATGCTATAACGTATTTAGAACGTCTTTAACAAAAATATCCAGATAAACTAGCACTGACCATAGCTATGATGCCCTGTATGTCCTGATACCATAGCAGTCACCACGGTCAAGCAAAGCAACCATAGGAGGTGAGACGCCATCTTCCTTCTAACCCTTCAACCCGCAGCTTGTTTACACGTGCCTGCCCAGCTGGTCAATACTTTTTTGTTTACCGTAAGGACGCTTGTAACATTCTAATTAGTCATTGATTTCAGTTTACATCAGAGCGACGTATTAGACCGACGAGTTTTCACATGTTTAAAGTGATGCTAATTATACCATAACACTATTTTTGTAGTCGGAATTTCTTTTGATTTAAAATATCTAAGCTTTATAATATTTTTCAACATTGTCGACACATTTCTAATAGCATATTTCTAGTAATGAAATATTCAGTTCGACATAATTTATTATTAACTATTGAAAATTTAAAAAAAATGTTTAGTTATCATATTTCGTCAGCTTCCTTCTTTTTTGGGACGGCGTGGCCCAGCGGTGGAGCGCTAGACTGCAAACCCGATAGCTTACATTTCGAATCCGGGTTCAATTTAGTGGATCATCTCTGAGTCTACCCAACTCCGATGGGTACCTAACTCACGTTAGGGAAAGTAAAGGCGGCTGGGCATAGTGCTGACCACATTATCCCTTTAGGCCTATAAGCCGAGGTCAAGAAACATATGAACTCAACTTCATCTGCCCGATCGATCGTTAAGTATAAAGAGGAATCTTTACTTTTTACCTTATGTTTTACACATTGTAGTAAAATGCACACGTATGTTTGTTTGGCATTTAATTTCAGATGATATAAAGAGTCTCAATGTATTATTTTCTTTTGTCTTTTTCTAGCGTTTACTGGCAAACAATTGTGCTTACTTTATGCGTATTATGATAGTGTACTTATTTACCAGTCTGATATGTGGTATCCACTTATGAATGCCAATTCCACTTACACATACACGCTCTCAACTCTAAAAATCCACACCATTTTTCATTAATTTTTTTGTTTATTAGCAAAATTGAAAGAAATATCATATGAACTGAATATAACTTTGTATAATTAGAATTAGGCACCAAGTATTTTTAATTACACAAACTAACACTAATAGTTTTAACGAGCTGACATGCGTCGTAGGCATACGCCGCTATTTAGTTGTTTTGTTGTTTACTTTTCAGAAATTCATAATTTGTGAAGTCGACACTACCCTCTCTTCCCCCCCCCCCCCTTGCAGCGGTCTGTGACGACAGTTTACTGACGACAATGAAAAGATCAAGCAGAACTTCTTACTTTTCATTAGTTTCAAATTGTTTAAAAGCTAAATTATCTGCTCCTAATAGCCGTCACATTGTAAACATTCGGTGTGAACCACAACTCACCAGACTGGTGGGGTGGGGGTGGTAGCGATATGCCTAGAGAGCGGGGTAGGAACGGCTAAGTCCTTACGTGGTGGTGTCTCGCATGGTCAGCATGTGGAGAATTAAATATAGAGATTATTTAGTACTCAAATGATTAAGTCTCGTTTAAATCAAATAGATTACGTGTAGTGTTTATTTTTTTTCATTTCTTAGCTGTAAATATATCCTATTTTGTCTTTACTCTCTGTACATTTTTCGTCGATACGTTAACTTACAATACTTTGCCTGCAATTATTTTATTATAATTAAAACATTTTTATTTATTTTAAACTAATTTTTAAAACTAGACTTATTTATACATCGAACATTCTTTAAATTAATCTGCTACCGAACGAGTTCCGAAATTCTTCTTTAGTTATATTGTTTAAAACTTAAATTTACTTGCACTTTATGTGAGATTACAAAAAGAATTAAAAGGATCGGAAATATGAAATAAAATAATCTGTCATTGTGTGCTAGGCATGAAAAGTCTATGTAATCATACTAAGTTTTTTAAAAATCGTTTTAAAAATATGGGAAGCGATGAAATTATAGTTTAGTTTGTAAAAATTAAAGACGTTTGAGAATCATTGATTTCATATTTTTGTATTAAATACAAGCCGTTGAAAAGAAGTTTAGAGTTTTTTCATCAATTCAAATATTTTCAAAAAACTGCCCTTAACCTCTCCTTGAATGTCCAGGGAGAGTAAAACAATAAAAGTAAGAACAATTGTTTTCCATGATAAAAATACACAATAGTGATCTGAGGTGTATATCGCAGTATTGTATTTATAATAAATAATATAACATCCCCAATCACCACAGCACCCTGACTCTACCAATCCAGATTAAAAATGAAAGTGTTTGCTAAACTACTATTGTATTACTAGTGCTTATTTCTTTGATTCTTTTAGCCTTAATGAAACCGGGAGTAATTTTGTACTTATTACATAATTGTTATAAAATATTTAATTTTGGTTGAAAAAAACATTCTTTTCGAACCATTTGGAACCAGCTTTGGAAGTCTATTATGTATTTCTTTTGAATTTTATCTAAAAGTTGACTGTGTATCAATTTTTTTAGGCTTTAGAAAAGATCATATTAGAGCTAGTGTTTTTCCATAGAAACATTTTTGGATACCAAACTAAACTTGCCCAGACAATTACATACTTTATTGTTATTCATCTGTAAATCTGTCAGATAACCCTGGCATTATCAAGGTACCGATAGTGAATCATTTAGTTTCTTGTCGTTCTTTCAATTTATAACACTATGCACTAGATTTACCACAATATAGAAAACATGCTGTCGTTACTAATAATTTGCCCTAGGAAAAACAATATCGAAACCATACTCTTCAATCAGTTTCCAACATTTCGCACAAAATTTAAAACAACGTAAAAACTATTTCTCACATATGTTCCAAGCCACACAAAACAGCATAAAAACATCTCACTATAGTTTCTAATGATATTCAACTCACGAAATGACATTAATACAATAAAAATGTCTTCCTGTTAGCTTTATAAATATTGGATCCAAAATGATGCAACCAAAGGCGACAGGTCGTGCTGACACTAGGATAAATCTTGAAGTCCATGCATAATTAAAATTTCCTCGAAGATTAAAATGTAATGTTCAACCTTTTAAACCGGACATTTTACAATGCACACATTTTTTTGGTCAAGAAACTCAAAACATGTTAACTGATAAATTATTTCGGTCCATTATATAAATGATTGAAGAAACGGCATGACACTACACTAATGTACGTTCAGTTCATCAATATTTAACAAAGTTTATCGATCAATATCCATTGAGGACAGTTTATTTTAATTAAAAACTCTAACTTAGTTGTGTAAATAAATACCAGTTTTACATGACAAAATATCGAGTATAATGCACAACGTTCGGAGTTAAAAATAAACGTCTAAAATATTAGTTTGCTTATTTTAACATGTTAAAATTAATAATTTAAAAAAAAACATTTAGCGACACATATTGATCACACAAACGCAAACATGATGATGTCGCAATATTCTATCAACTTTATTCAGCTTAACAAACCAAATTTATGACAAGATCCAACTGCCAGTAAATTAAAAAACTGAAAAACAATAAATAAATAAAATAAAAATAAATGAAAAGCATCATCATGAATTTGAGAGTGATTAATTACATAATATTTAATTTATCTTTAAACCAAGAATTTTTTGTAAATGAAGTTTTTTTAGCTTATTTTTCTAGACCTCTGTTCTCTCGAAGATCAGGTTTACCATACGTTTCACTATTCTAATAACACCTATCTCGAATAGACAAACCAATTTATAGAATGGAAGCTGGCTAAACGCGAAAATAAAGATAGAGGAAAACGCCACACCTAACGTGCACAGCATATTAGTTTAGATTTTTAACTTTATTAAAAATGTATATTTTATAAATTATTAACATTCTTATGTTTACATTACATATTCAAAAGCGTGCGATCTAATTCGTATTTGAAATAATACCAAATCAAAACCGTTCTTTCTATGTATTCATTCGAATTTTGAACATCGAGCATAGAAGCTACCTTTTAACACTTCCTCTTAGGGAATATATAATTAATCATATAAAACTAATCCTTTAATTTTAAAACCAAACGCGTGGGATTACCTTGACCTAAAGGTTTCGTTGAAGCGGACATACAATTAATAAAATGAAATGTGAATAATAGCATAGGATACTTCCTCTAAGCGGAAATTGATGAATGTAATAGGGGACAGGCATGTTGCTGTTTTAAACTATGCATTATCTTTTGAATTCATCCTCGTATTTTACTCAAGATTTTTCCCACTTCTCATGATTACGGTACTTGAATGCTTAAAATTAAAATATACTGTTGGCATTTTTTAAATGTGAATCGTTATCACCAGATCATAACTGCACTTAATATATATTTAAAAAATATTCCACCTATGATCCAATCAACCTTTTCGTACAGCTTAAAATAGTTTGTTATGACTTTTTTTTATTGTTTCCTTTGCTTTGAAAAATTTAAAACCATTTCTTTTACATTGTAAATAAATTAAAAACCAAGCACTTTAAATTGTGTTTGTAATTTGAAGCTTATTTCTCTTTACTTTTGATACCTGTCAGCATCCTAGTCGCATTTCGTCGTGCCACAAATAGCAATATAAAGTTACTTTGTTATTTAGCCTATAACATCATTTCATTGTGCTATAATCATCAGCATAAAATATTTGATGTGCTATATTAGAATAGAGGTTTTTTTCATATCGCAACAAGCTTAAATTAAAAAATGTATTAACACGAGATTTTTAGTATATTTTCTTGTATTTATTATTTGGCGAATAAACAAACAATACTATTAAGTCATTGACAATATATTTATAAATACGAAAAATATTGTTAGCTACTAATATTGTGTATTTAGACAAGGATGAAACAAACATTTATTTTATTTCTAATTTAATAATTCTCTTAATTCTCCTTCTGTTTTCATTCTTCCGCAAGATTTGAAAATAGTGCATTTATAAATAGTTTTAAGAAAGAGTAAGCATACAATGCTTTCCAACGTTTAATAATAATTAGGAATTGGCTTATTAACACTGGCATTACATCGTCTCAAGAACATCAGCACTGAAGGTATGTGATGTGAGGCTTAGACATTGCAATAGTTGTCTTTTAAACGTCAGAATGTAAACATATCATGATATACATTTTGTTTTCAGAGATTTTTAAATCGTCGTTAGGATACATTACATCGATAACCCTTCGCGCAGCGCCAGCGATATTCGCACTTGTTATTTTATAAATCTTTTTATTCGTAACGAAAGTATAAAAATGTAGCTATTAAAAAGTAAATAAACAAATATTAAAATATGTATTTTTATTACAGTGGACTAAATAATTCAAGGAGTTAAGCTTTTGTTTTAGATATATCGAGTTTCTGTTTCATCACATTGTCTGTACTTCATCTGCCCAATGGATCGCTAGGTCCAAAGAGAATACTTTACATTGTCTGAAGTTCTATATTAAGTATTGGAATCCGAATGTTAAAACTTGGATGCAAATTCTTCAACTTCGTGCTGCAAATATGGGTCTGATTCATCACAAGAAACTGATCCTTTACCTCCAAATGTTTGTTGTGGTTTATCCAATTCTTGGATTCACCTTCGAAGATATGAAAACCAGTTGTAAAGACAGTTGTGGGAAACACTGGTTTAAATACTGTTCATGCGATAGCCGCTGTGTTGTATACAAGACCTGCTGCGAAGATTTCCAGACGGATTGTCCGAATGTTTACAAAGAAGGAATCGAAAAATTCAAAGACCTGCTTCACCTGGAGCTGTTGTGTACGAGTTACAACGTGGCCATGGTCGCATCTTGCCCGAACACATCAGCAACTCAAACTCACTTACACGGTAACCAGTCTGTTTCACTCAACAGTGAAGAAAAATTTTCTTTGTTTACCTACGAAAATGTGCTCAGTTTTATTAACAACAAACCAGTGACAAATACAGACACAGGCATCGTTTTTACCAACAAGATAATCTACGATTGTAACAATAAAAACAGCTCTAATTTTACTTTTTGGCAACCGTTTATTGGAGATGATGCTTGGAACTTTTCCATGTGGAAACAACAAAAACATCCCGTGAATTTTATATCTTACGTACCTCCTTATCAGTTATTTCACGCGACATTTTGCTCAAATGATGTGATCGATTCGTGTCATAACCAGACTTACGTATCATTGCAAGATTATAATCATTTCGAGAAAATGTGTAGCGATTTTATTTCATATATCTTTATTTATAATGAATATAATGAAATTATTGTATACCGAAATCGCTACTGTTTAGTTTGTAACGAAGGTTATGGAGACTTCAAAGAGGCTGGATTTAGATCCCACACGGCCAAGTTTAAAATTTTGTTCCACATGAACACAAACCATTCGGTACAGCTGACCGCTAAAACAGTCGCCCTCAATCAGCACTGGCAGGAGGCGGTCTGTGACTTTGACGACTTTAAAACCGTGACCAGTTTATTCGATATTCAAGACAGCTCATGCGAGATTCAGAAGTGCGCGCCTGAATTCTTTCAAAGTTTGGACAATAAATGCCATCGGTTTTGGGTTATAGGGATAGCTGATACAACTGGAGGGTTCATCGCGTCTGAGTTTGGACAGCTAAATGTTTCTGATGTTTTGATCTGTTTGTTCAAGGAACTCTTTGATTTTAAAGTTTACACATTTTTAGAAAAACAGTATATTTTTAATGAGGAATCAAAAGAAAATATTGTTTTAGAGCTAATACAAGTTTATTCAATAAAGAATGAGATCAACTATGAAACTGCGAAAACTGCACCGAAAATAAACAAAAAGATCAAGATAAAGTTAGTATCTATTTCGGCCGTTATTCAGAAATGCAAAAACAGCTCTAGAGAAAATATAAACATGGAAACATCAAACTATGTTGATGTGTTTACAGAAAGGAATGTTTTTGAAAATAAAGCGGCGGTGGTATCACGACAGAACCAACTGAACGGGATTTTTGTTTTCAACACGACTGTAACAGTGTGTATCATGGTGGAGCAAACGCCCAAAGGTAGAAAACTGTGCATGCCTAGATCTGAACATAACCTGAAAGCTGAGACTCAAGACATTGACAAACTGCTTCAGTCAAAGTGTTTGATTGCCAACACATGCTGGGGTATTGATCTCATGACAGCACTATTGACAAACATTGTGTTTGTTCTACTAACGTTGGCATTGATTGATTGATTGATTTAATGTCTAAAATAATAGAACAGTATAATGGGGGTTATTTTAAAGTGAGCAAGATTAATAAAATGGAAGGAAATGGTTGAGGCCCTATGTTCCATAAGAAGTAAAGAGGACTAAGTCAAGATTAATATTTGTTGTAGTTACCAAAACTACAGAATATATTCAAGTTAAAGAATTTAATATTTCTCTATATTACTTTCTCTTTTGATATCGGCTCAGTTATTAGAAATGATTGAGTTTAAATTTCGACCGCGTTTATATTTAAAAAAAAATGAAAACAACATTTAGCAAATGTTTTTTTTAAACTAAAACTTAAATTACGTCGTGTTTTATTATTTCACAATGGTATATATGTATTAAATGAAAACGTAAACATTTTTGTGGCGATGAGTTATAATAAAATATGTCATTTAATAAATATAGTGATGTAATTGAGAGATATTTATATCCCAACTATTGTAAACGTGTACTAAGGTGTAAATACTCACGTTTTGGTTCCATATTCGTTTTTAATTTCGAAAATCTTTTTTTTTTAATTTTTGTATATCTATCTCATAATATTATATTCTGTTTAAATTTGCTGCTTGTCAGAGTTTTAAAAATGTATAATAAATTTGATTTTATTTAAACCATCTGTACAATATTAAGGCAAAATTGTTTAGCTAATAAAAAATACATCAAGATATCATGTACTTGTGACGTTTTTAGTTCAATTATAAAAAGTCAACCAGCAAACACAACAAATTTTATTTGCATTTAATATATTTATGTATTCTTATAAAGTAGTGTAAAACTGCATTGATGATTTATATAAGAGAATGAATTATGTTAATTGATACATAAACTACGCTAAAATACCCAAGACTGTTGTCCCCTATCAGCGCCAGCTGGGTGCAATCCACACAGAAATTTTAATGTTAAGATGGGACTTTGCAAATTAAAGTATTTATTTCTTACTTTTAAAAGTTAAATGCAAAGTTTAAAACTGCAAGCGCTGTGTCAAAAGAAGTAATTTAAATTATCTCAAATGAGTACTTTTTTCGAAGTAAACGGCAAAAAAATGTGTCCATCATTAATAGCTAATCAAAGTTTGAATGTCATAGATAATCAACCAAAGGGCCTCTGATAATTAATTACAATTAAATAAAAATTGATTTTCATATTGTTCTCATTTGAAATTTATCTGAAACGAAAGGAACAATAATATTTAAGAAGCATTTTCAAGGAATAATTTATATTTGTGATATTTTTTATTATAATATATATATATATATATATATATATATATATATATATATATATATATATATATATATATATATATAATATTTATTAATTAATTTAAATAACATACAAACGTATTTAAAATATGTTCTCTTTCGTATTACATTTGAAAACAAATCGTATTATTATAACGTTCTTAAAGTACATCAAGCAAACATTAAATTGAACGATAATCATTGTTAATCGAATTATACGATATGTTTAATGATTATAATTAATACATAAAAATTACTTGTTACTGGCGTTTCTTGCCTTTCAATGAAAAACATGGGACAGTATAAAAATCTAAATATAGAAAATGAAATTCATTGTGACATTTTAAATAAATGAAGATTTACAAATAATAGAGTTCATAATTTATTTTTGAAATTTTTTATCTTCATTGATTTCAAAATATTAACTTTACTATATAATGAAAGTTATTAAAACAAAGAAGGTTGATTTGATGATTATGTTGTAAAAATATTTAATTAACTAGTCCTCGACTAACGGACTGTCTATCTAGGTCAAAACTAAAGGCTTGTGTTATTATCAACAGCAACAAAAGAAAAGAAAATAGTTTTACTCACAACAATCGTATTCATCGCTGTTGTCGCCACAGTCGTTAACTGAATCACATCTAAAACTTTTATGAACGCACGCCTTGTTCTTACACACAAACATGTTGGGATTGGTACACTTGGGTTCTAACAATAGTTTTTAAAAATGCTTTTCTAACAGTTCAAAACACTGATTATAAAACACTGCGTTCAAGTTAACATAATATTTTGAATTTTTTTAAACACAACAAAAGTAAAAAAAAAATAATCTAAGTTCTATTTTATTTAAAATAATAATTACCTTTCAAATATATATATTTCATTTTATCGATATCTGAAAATTAAATAATAGTGTTAAGATATTAGCTAGTGTATTTATGATAAATAAATGGCTATTGTCATCATGAATGTAGTATAAAAATATACACAGTAGGCATTTATTTTGGTTTTTAAATTATCGTTTTAAGTAAATTGCTGTCTATGAGTAGCACAGAAGTATTTCTACTGGACGAAAATGATAATTCAATATATATATATATATATATATATATATATATATATATATATATATATATATATATATATATATCAATAAACGAGTACAATACCGCATGCTTCTTAGTACTCTTACCACATTTAATATCTAGAGATCGTAAATGCTTCTCCTTTCTATCAAACATTTCGAACTGCTGTGTAATCGACATAGGGCAACCGTCGGTCACACATTCCAACAGCTTAAGTACGCCTCTGGAAATACAGCCTCGACGATATTAGAAACGATAAAAAAAAAATTAATATTACATAAAACTAAACAGTTTTTCTAACGCCAGATGATTGAAGCTGTATCGTATTTTTCTGATGTGTTTAATATTTGTTATAGGTTAATGCACCGTGGAGTTTACTCGCATTATGGAAAGAGAAAATAATGTGTTTAATTATATAGTTTTTGCCTTATAGCTAGCGATCTTCTAATGTACGTAATAAGTAACTAATAAGTAATAAAAGTTGTACAAACATCTTCATCTATTAGGGGTATTTACGTTATTCGTAGAAGATTTTACTATAAACTAAATCCATTTTCCATTAACCACTATAGATATTCCAAAAGTTAAACTTTACCCGCATATTGAAAGAGGGCTGTTAGCAAATTCGTTCTTGAAAATATTCCAGCATTCATTTTCGGTAAACAAACACTCTGGGAATAAAGTAATGTAAAATTTAAAAGATGAGATAAAAGAAGGGTCGAATTCTCCCCAAAAATATCGGGCTTTGGATGCCGATTGCATTGCCGTGACGGTTTTAAAAAGGAAATGCATCTGGCTTTAAGTTATATAGCTGATCCCACATTGAACATTGTAAGCCGAAGTAAAAGTGTCTAATTCTTCCGATATTTCTGAAACCGTATTTTAGATGATTATGAAAAAAGAACAGAAATGCAACTAAAATATATCTTTAATATTTTAATCATATTATGTAAGTTATCGGAGCCCATATTACACATGTCTACATTTTAAAATGGGATGTGATTAAATGCCATAAAAATAATGCTAAACTTAATGGTGTTTCACCAAACAAAGTTTGTGTATGAACAAAAATATTTATAGAGTTTTTTTGTTATAAAAGCTAGCCTTTAAAAGAAGGATCAATGATTATATGTTCTGGCAACCATATTTTCAGAAGTCCCTGATGCATGGAAATATTTTCCTTTCAAAACCCTAACCTAGATACACACAAATAAATAAAAAAAGGCTTATTAATTAAGAAAGGTTTTTTTTTTGTTCCGGAGCATACCCTATTCTAAAGCCCGCACTTAAAAATCTTCAGAAGTTGTTTTTCAAAATGTAATTTTTTTTTAAAATATTAATGACAAACTTACCAGATTTATAGTGGTCGAAATGAAAATCTGAAATGAATGAATGTAAACATTATCTTGTTGTCAGCTTCTTAAACGTTGTATTGATAATCAGATCTTTTCTCTGATAAAGAGGGTTCCTTATTAATATTTCCTTTATAAAAAACGTTAGTTGAACGTAAGAAACATAAAATAATCATTAACATTTTATTAAAGCGAAAAAGTATTTTGTTTTAAATTCAAAAGTGAATTAAATTTTTAAAAAATGAGTGTGTGAGTTATTTTTTTTAATAATAATTTCCAAAACTAGACAAATTTTAAAATTATTATTTAAAAATATGTTTTTTCTCATAACCGAACGTTTATAGAAATAAAAAGGAGGAGAGCATAAGCTATAAATGTTAACTTCTTTTTAAAAAATCAAAATAATTTTTTATAGCTCAATCAAACAAAACTTTGTTTAATTTGTAACCAATTTCTCGTTGGAAGTAATTACCGCAGTAAATGTTTTTAGTTTTCAGCAAAGTTTTTAAGCTTTTAATCTCAAGGTCCAATTCTTTTCTTGTTAAAACACAGTTTTCCTTGATGCACATTAGAAACACAGTGACTAGTCTGGGGAAAAAGTTTAAAAAGAAACTTTTGAAGTCTTATTTTTTACATCAATATTTGTAATTTTAAATTATTTGTTAACTTTCTATGTCGTATTATGTATTTTAATATTTTCAATGTCCTATTATTTGTAAAATTTTAATTATTTTCACAATTTACATTAAAGGGACGTAATTATTAAAATTGTTAAAGTAGTCTAGATTGCGGTTCTTGTGGGTCCGCAGTTATTAAAAGGATTTACGTATATTTTTTGTTTAGTATAAATGTTTTTAATCGTTAGTAGATAAGAACGGAGTTCTGTATTTTGAAAATTTAGTATACCTAAAATTGATAGCAGATATGCTTTTTTTAGTTATATAAAGTAGCAAAATAATGGAAAAATACATGTTTGGGGAAGAATGTGTATGAACGAGAGACATTGAGTAAGAATTAATGTTTCTTCAAGGGTACTTGATAAAAGTATATATTTTCTCTATAAATTCTATTTTACTCGGGGGAGGGTGGGGGAGGGCATTAAACTTTATTTTACTGGGAAGGGGAGGGGGGGCGCTAAATCCCCAACACCCCCCCCCCTCTTACCCCCACCCCGAAGAGATCACTGAGTGAAACTCTGGTGAGAATCCTTGAAACTCTCATTGTGCCACGAACAATTAGTCCGAGAATATTTGTTTGGCACCCAATGTAATCCTAATTAAGATAGATGCAAATAAATCTTGTGTGTACGTAGGATTGTAGTAAAATAACGTTTCCGTATATTATTAGAAAAGTAATATCAATTGTTGATGAATGCATGCTATTATACGGATTATTTTGCTAGTAACTACGATGAAATAATAATGTCTGCTTGGTTCTCAGTTTCATGTCGGTACTACAGTATAATTTCATCTATAAACAATTGCTAAATTTCAAAGTTTCTATTACTCGACCCAGGCATTATTACAATCATTAAGGTTTTAATTAACAGGGTAGTCTTTTCAATACAACTTAATTTTACACTTTACTTGCTCGGAAGAAATATTGTAGCTGGATGAACTCACCTATATAACCAAGAACATGACGTTGTGAAAATACTAAAGTTTTTACTTTTTTCCTGATTTAAATTATGTACATTATATTCTATTTAAAATGTTATGAGTATATTAATTAACTTGTATTTGGCAAGTGTAAAACCTGTTTCTTTTCCTTCTCTGTGGGGCTGTCCTTTCGTTCTTCCTGGTGTCTGGTATTTGTACGTGCTACCTGTTAGTAATGTTTGTCTTTAAAAAGTTGGCACGCTGTTCGATACGCTTGACCGAGTTCGCGACAGTTCCAACTAGCACATGCGTGTGTTGGCTAGGGTCGCGCCAAAAATTGAGCACATAGCACATAGAATATAGGTGTGTTGTGTTGTCTATTTGTATCAGACGGTATAGCTGTGTTGTCTATTGATATCAGACGGTATAGCTGTGTGGTCTATTGATATCAGACGGTATAGCTGTGTTGTCTATTGATATCAGACGGTATAACGGTGTTCTGTTGTCTACCCATATAGAAATTAGCTAAGGGCCTTATCAAAATCTTACTCCAATCCAGACTATTACATGCGCTTTCAATCGCAACTGAAATATGCCAGCCATTCGGTCTTAAATCAAACTAAAACGAAACTTTCTTACAGACAAACCTGTTCCTCGTTGTTCACATTGATGTTAAACTCCATCTGATCAAAGTCTTTCAGACATCTGGGGTAGTTACAACCTGGACAGAAGTCACAGTGATTACAAGTGTAATCAACATTAAAATATGTGTTAAGTAGTGGGCCATATAGAATGAGTGCACTTCTTATAAAATTATTCTCATAAACTTTTTTTTTAACTTTAACGTTGGAGAAATCAAAGCTGACAATTCATATAGCTATGAAAAGAAACTGCGGTATGCTAGATGGATCCGTCTCCTGCGTAAAGTTAAGAAAATGAAGCAAAACAATTTTTTTAATACTCGCGCATTGTATGTTTATGGGACGGCATATTGCGGTGGAGCGCTAGACTGCTAACTCGAAAGTATCGAGTTTGAATCCGGGTTCAAGTCAGTAGAACGTCCATGAGTCCACCAAGCTCTAATGATAACCTAACTCATGTTAGGGAAGTAAAGACGGCTGGGCAAAGTGCTGACCACACCTTCTCTTCATATGCCGCGGTCAAGAAACTTATGAACTATACTTCATCTTCCCGATAGATCTATAGGTCTAAAGAGGGATTTTAAATTGTGTATACATTATACGTGTACACACTTACGCTCAAACACTAACATACTCACATATATGCGTGGGTGAGTGGGTGGGTGTGTCCGTGTCTTTTTATAATCTTTAGTATTCACCAAGGTATCTTAGACTAGCAATACGACTAAAAACGTTTACTTTCTACCATCATGTTAGAGGCATGCCCATGATTCTCCCTGAACAAGCAAATGTTAACCTACCCAAGCTTGTCTGTAGTAGCTGTCTGGCTAAAAGGTAGGTTGACTTCCCTTGATACTGGTACATGTAATAGGCCGCACAGATGGCGACACATATCGCCAGGGACGTATACCACTTCATACTGAAGAATTCAAGAGTCACTCAATCCTAACCTGGTAAGCAAAGGATTAAAGAATTCTAGAGTCACTTAATCCTAGCCTGGTAAGCACAAGATTAAAGGATTCAAGAGTCACTCAATCCTAACCTGGTAAGCACAAGATTAAGGAATTCTAGAGTCACTTAATCCTAACCTTGTAAGCGCAGGATTAAAGAATGCAAGAGTCACTTAATCCTAACCTTGTAAGCGTAGGATTTAAGAGTTCAAGAGTTACTTAATCCTTACCTAGTAAGCACAAGATTAAAGAATTTAATGTGTTCCTTCTTAACCAATTTCTGCCTACACTGTCGTGTAAATCTGTTGTAACTATCACATTAGTGTTGTTTGTCCAGACAGTAAATAGAAAATCAATGTCCGTGTCACCGAACTATATTGGGCTACAATACGTAGGCCTAAAGCATTATTGTTTCAATGGTGTATTTTATACTACACGTTATACATTATATTATATTTGAAAGATTATATATATCATCTGTGACAGTGTGAGTTACTTTCTGACTCTGGGTATTTTGAGCTAGCTCTAAAACATAACAGTGATTCTAAAAGAATTGGTTTATTTCTGTTGTATTGTTTAACAAAAGTGATGGAAGTTTTTGTTAAGTTCACTTTTAAGAAGTTCACAATATCTGCCATTTTGTCCGTGTCTGAAACTAAGTTTGACCGATTTCTGATACAGCGATTTCGTTTAAACTTTCCATATACATTCACTTCCGAAGACACTACAATGATTTCAAAATTGTTTATAATAGATACAATGGTCAGGTTGATAAAGCTCATGGTTGCTCGATCGAAAATTCTAAAGTTCGAACCCCGGGCAGATGAGGCTCGTTTACTGGGGACAGCAACTTACTAATCTAAGAGAGAACACTCCAAAATCCCACAACTGTTGCCTTGTAGTTTGTTCTTGAATGGACAAAGTCTATGGAAGCAAATACAGAAATAAAGCAGGCTGAAATTGGAGTCAATGGCCCATTTGGATCATAACAATTCATCACATAACACTTAGTGTTGGATTGAAAATCCAGTCCAACATAAGAACGAAGAAGAAACAGATATTACATTTTTATTTTGAATAATGTCATGATTATTATTTGATGACAAAAAACGTGGGTCGGGCAGATTTATGATTAAAGCGAAAATCACACAACACACGAATTTTGGAAATTTGATGGGGAACGTACCCACGTTTTTCGTCATCAAATGTATGAACAGTAATCACAAGAACCTGCACAGCTCGAGGAAGCACAAAATCTACGAGCAGTCATTGGTAGATCCCCTAGGGTCGGAAGAAAAATTTATTTTCTACTTTTTAGTCCACAAGAAAAACGTGTTTTTTTTTAAAGTTTTTTTTTTAAGTATTTTATTGAATAATGTAATGATTATTATAGGAGATAACAAGATTACTTTCTGTCAGCTGCTTGATGGTGGCGAGGTGTTAATGACTGGTGATTGGTGTCAGACAGCCCACCACAGACTTCAACAAGTAACAGGTACTTGTCTTTTAAAGTTAACGTCGCAAGCTACCTATTGGGCTTTAGAGCAAACATGTTTAACTTTAGCTATAATTTTCGTCTCGCCTAAAACTAGCTACATATCACAAGGAACAAAACGTCAAAAAATGAAGATACGTATATTATACAAGAAGCTACTATATAAACGTGTAATTTTCCATGTCCCTGTTTTTTCACTGGCATTAAACTACACGACAACAAACTTACCTGCAACGTATAACTTCTGGTTAGCCTGATATAAAAGCTACACTCAAACTAAACGGCATATCGATTTTTTTACTTATATATTTTAATCAGTCAATATTGATTTTTTTCAATTCCAAGAAAAGTTTTATGAAATGACTAACCCGGATCTCAATAACTTAACTTTAGTACTAGCCGTGCTTTAGTTTTCTCCTGTTTATAACAAAAAAAAAACATTCTTTTTATTGTAGTGATGTAGATAATACAGACGAACGACAAAGCTAATATTATAATTATAAATAAATAAATAAATAAATAAATTATTATTATTATTATTATTATTATTATTATTATTATTATTATTATTATTATTATTATTATTATTATTATTATTATTATTATTATTATTATTATTATTATTATTATTATTATTAATTTTCCTTGTTAAAATTTAAAACCGGTGCAATTTTCGAACTTGAACCCCATGATCTAAGAATCGATGTGCGTTGCTTGTATCATTGAAATTGTTTAGACTGAGTACGTGCCATAAACAAGCTCGCGACATGGCTGTTCAAATCCAATTCACTAGTTAGATTTAGTTAATTTAAACTATTGTAATTTAAGTATATTCTCTAAAACGGCAAATTTGCTTTTTTTTTTTTGTCAATCATCACGATAAAAAAATGTATTTACTTTTCTACTAAAATAATCATGTAAGGGAAACAACAATGTCAATTAATTGTTATTTGTTCTTTTACACGGTTATCTCCTTCTACAGCAGTGCCGGCGCCAGGTTATTTAGCGCCCTAGACAAAACTTATTAAAACGCCCCTTCCACACAAATTAATTACTAAAACATAAGCATAAGAAACTAATTAATTAAAAGGGAAATATTAATAATTAATTCATCATCAATTGCGTACACGTTAAAAGTAGACATCAAAATCAAATTTTACTTGCCTTCTTCGTCGCAAAAGATTGTACTCATTCCTTCGATTCCATTTTGCAAGGTTAATCACATTCTATTGAAATCGTTGCTAAGTCCACGAGTCTACTTTGTACTTTACGTCATAGCCCACCCAACACCCCCATCCCCCCTCCCCCACTCGCCTCACCTTACAAAATAAATTTCAAGTGCTCCCCCCCTCTCCTGGGAGAAATAAATCTGGGGAAAAAATTTAAAAACCCAGAGTTTTTGTGGTGTTGGGCTCTTTACAGACCTCCCAAGCTTGGCTGTCTTTAGTTATAATTGTAAAATGTCTATATTGTGTGATTATGTAATGATTTTTTGTTTGTTTTTGAAAAATAAAAGTTTACAAATGTTATATATTCCAGCCTACAATTGTCATATATGAATCCTTTAGGAGAGGGTGAAAAGTGTGAACAAGACACTTTATTAATTAGAGATTTATTATGCGACTAAGACGATTTTAGACGCATTTCTTGTATTTGTATGTCTACTAACATTAAGTACGAGAAAAATGGCCCGTTGAGGAAGGATACAACGGGCGCTAGGCTGATACTGCTGTCTCTTTTCTCTAAACTAAAACCACCCCCCCACCACCACCCCCCCTCTCCCTCCCCCCCCCCCCCCAAAAAAAAAAACTTGTCTACCGTCCCATTCAACGAAATATAATTATATACTTTTTCCAGTGTCTGCCCCCTCCCCGAAAATTCTACCCCCGCCCCCGAAAATTTCAAGTACCCCCACCCCTCTCCGAGGAGGAAAAAGTCTGAAAGAAACACTGGTGTCGCGCTTAGCCACTACCCGAAGAATTGCATTAAAGAAATTGCAAGAAAACCACTTTTTAAATTAGACACATTAATTAGGCGGTAATTTTATTATAGAGTATCGATGAAGAAATTTCTTTTGAGTTAGGGAGGGGGGGGGGTCAGATGTTCTTACGCGGGGGTGGGGCTTCGCCCCTACCCGAAGAATTGTATGAAAGAAACTCTTCACGCAAACCACTTAGATTAGACAAAATTGCCTTTTTATTCAATGTTTACTCGAGAATCAATGACGTCATATTACTGTGTGCACTCTTCGGCTTGAGATTATTTTCTACTATACGACATCATACTTCGTTTTTTGAATTACTGTGCATGTTTTTAATTTGCTTGTGTTTTCTCTAGAGCGTTCTTGTCAGATACATAGATAGATACACAGATAGATACACAGACAGCGAAACTATTAGTATTAATTGCAATATACAACGGCTGCTGATGTATTTGTTTTTCAACTTGAAGCAAGAAGACCTACCAAACTATTTTGTTTAGAACTTCTACTCTATATAATTTTTACAATAGCAAATAATAATTTAAAGCTGTATCTATAAGTAAGCGGTCAACTTAAGGTGCAGGAATTTGAAATTAATGTAAAGTAACATCTCCCATTTTGAAATCCAAACACCACAATTTTATTCAAGGGAAACAACTTTCACAAGAATAGCTAAAGTAACCACTTGTAACTAAGACATGCTTGAAAAACACAATAAACGCTTTAAATTTCATTACTTTGGAGGTAACAGTTGCATTTATACAATATTTTGGTTTTTAGGGTAAGCTAAACAAAATGGGAATTGGTGATACGTTTTTCGCTGCTTCCGATCGTGAAGAAGAGGAACCAGAGGAGCTGGTCGATCCTTTAGAAGAGCTTAGGAAATCATGTGCTGAAAAGGAAGAATGCCGTAAATTAAAGGACAAACTAGACAGCTGCAGTGCTCGTGTGGATAGCAAAAGTCAAACTTCAGAAACTTGTGTAGAAGAACTAATCGATTTTATGCATTGTCTAGAGTCTAGACAATTGTGCATCAAAGACCCTTTTTTCAAAGTTGAAGTAATGTGTTAGAACTGGCCAAGAATAGTGATAGTTTGCATTTGATCAGCTTATTCTGCACAGGATAACTGAGTGCACAACATAAATTATTAAAGATTGATTATAAATTAGGGTTTTTTTTTTGTAGGATGTTTATACGAAAATGCTTTGAAATTTGGTGTCACTGAGTTGACAGTGTCATGACTGAATGTATCAGCCATGTATCAGCAAGTTAACTTATGTATGGGCTAGTGAGGGAAAGGTTAAGTTCACTGTTTGAATTGTTACATTGTCATAAAAAATGATTTTTATGAGAAAAAAAAATTGGTACCTAAAAAAATCAAAAGTTAAAAAAAAAGAAAAAAAAAGAAAAAAAAGGATAAAAAAAAATTTGGTACCTATAGAATCAAATTAGACTACCCGTCATCCGTTGGATAACTGTGGGTTTCGGGGGTCATCCATCAAAAAACATTACGTCTGTCATTCAGAGGCGTAGCGACCCTTCCCGGCGCCCGGGGACAAACTTTTCGATTTGAACCCCCCCCCCCCCCCGCAAGATTTCGATTTGCACCCCCCCCCTCAAGATTTCGATTTGACCCCTCCCCCTCAAACTTTCGATTTGTTGCACCCCCTCAACCTTTCAATTTATTTTTCCAACCCATTTTGGCGCCCCCTAAGGTCGGCGCCCGGGGACATATGTCCCCCCCCACCCCTCGCTACGCTTCTGCAGTGTCACTTATCGGTATCATCACAAAAAACAGACACCACATTCAAAAATATGTTTTTTTATCTTTTAAAATCTTTTAAAAACACCGAAAACACCGATTTCGGATTATCCCTTCATATACTGACGTCACAGGTGGCCTACTCAACTCTACTTCACCTGCCCAGTGTCCCGCCAAGTCTCAGACAACATGTTTTTATCGTTTAAAAAACGATTCCAGCCCAACATGTCACGGACCACACTATCCCTTCATATGCTTCATATCCCTTCAAATAAAAATTGAAAAAAAAAATATCATTGACGAATTTGGTCTAGAACCTGTGCCACCCGCATGAGAGCCGATTACTCTAACAACTTAGCTATTTACTCGTGACGTCACAAATGAATTTTTATACTATACTTTAACACTTTGAGTCTCCTTATGCAACTTGAATTTCGCGCATAGATCTAGATCTAAGTCTAGTAGTAGTAACTTTCAAATTAAATTTTATCTTAAATTAGCCAAACAAAGATTTATATAAAATAAAGAAGGTATGAAATTATCTAAATCTAGATAGAATTATATAGATCTAGATTCTACGACTCGTTTGCTTAAGTCTTAAGTCTCTAGAATCTAGTATTTGCGTAACTCTTGCTAGATCTAGATCTAGATCTAGATAGATAAATCACAAAGATTTATATCAAGTATTTAAGGACTAAAAATGTATTATGATTATAAAATGGATTGTATTTTATTTAATTAATCTTTGGTATGTATCTAACTAATCTTTTGTTTGACCTAGATTCTAGATCTAGATCTATAAATAACTTGCTTGGCCACATGATATTTTTAGATCTATAAATAACTTTGTTGGTCAGATTGTAGAGAATTTTTTTGAAACACTAAATGAGAAAGACAGTTCAAAATTTATAGAAGTGTTGGAACGTAATAAAAACAGCAAACGGACGTATTGTTAAATGTTATGGCCGACAGAAAATTAGATTTCGAACGCGTTGAACTTTTGAATTGGCCTATGATGGAAGCCGCCATTTTATTGTACTAAAAAGTAAACACAAAACTGCGACGTCACGGTTCCGTCGAGTCTAGTGGTTTTTCTAATCTTTTAAAAAAAAATGTGGTTAATCTACCTATAAATAAATCAATAAATTAATTAACGTCTTTAAATAAATGTGTGATTAACGGTCTGTCTGCAATCAAAAATTGTTCTCTATCTACATACTATTTGACAGCCCCCCATATAAAGCAGTTTCCTTACAGTAAGAAATCAGACAAACAAAAAAATAAATATTCAAACATGTAAACAAAGTTGAGTTTTAGTAGTATATAGATGTGTGAGCTGTTTAAGACAGGGGTCGGCAACCTTTTGAGACGGAAGAGCCAAAACATACAATTTACAAAATTTTCTTAGCTTTTAAAGAGCCATAAACAATCATTATTTTTATTGCAGTATTTTGGTATTTGATAAGGATTAATTAAATAAATTTGATTTTTTACTTTAAATTAATAGCTCTAAACATGAACTAATATTGATTCATATAAACAAAATACAAAAGTTTCTCACAAAAAAAATGTTTTAGCGAACTCTGCTAGGATAAAATTAGTAATTTTAA